TGAGCCGGAGATATACCTAAAAATTTTTATTTAAAAATTAATTTTTTTTATTAACTTTATTTTTATTTCAAATAAAAAATTTTTACCTAAAAAGTGTGTAAATTTTATAACAATCCACAAACAATATTTCGAGATTTTCAAAATTTTATAAAATTAATATTAAAATTCAAAATGGCGTATCTTCAACAATTTTTGAATTTTTAAAAAAAAAATTTTAGGGAAAGAAGTCTCTTATACATATACATATATATTATATTTTTGGTACAGCTATACAGAAAAGAACCATTTTCTTTAAAGAAACATTAAAAATTACTGCAAAAAATTCAATAAAATCTCTTTTGTCACATTCAATCAGTTTTTGGGTCCATTAATTATTCACACATTCACTTTATTGTTTTTGTATTTGTTTTTTTAGATGAAAAGGGAAACTTTTTCAGCCCGGCACTCATCGATATTAAATAATTTTACAAAAATAGCCAGGCTAATACATATTCACCTATAATATAATGAAAAACCATAACTAAATAATACAATTTTAACTACTTATGATGATGTTTAGAAATGTTTTGCATTTTACAACGAAAACTCAAAAATACATTTTCCCTTGTCTTTACTAAAAATCTGTCAAGAATGTGATCGTTCGTTCTGGAATGATGTAAAGAAAGGTTGTTGATGATTTTATAGACATTGCAGCAAATTTTAAGGTTTCTAAGTACGTGAAATTTAAAAGCTTCCATTACCCGCAAGCTCCCATTAACCCACGCTCCCCTACACTATATGTGGTTAAATTAGATTAATAATTTAATTATTAAATTACTTAAACAGATTTAAGTTGCAACTGTTCACAGCACAATTATATTCGTATAGTTCCTCTAAAGGGACTGTTAAGGTAAACCTCTAGTTTTTTTTATATTTTTGAATATATAATTTTACTAAAAATAGATTCCAAATTTAGATTTAAAATAAATTTTATTCTTTCATTTACCTAAGTTGATATAGTTGTATAGTATAAAAACCAGAAATAAAACTTTCAGTATTTTAAATAACATTATATTGCACAGGTGGATGAATTGACATTTTATTGAATCAAACTTAAGTTAACATTATATTGCATGAAATTTTTAAAAACAATTATACGCCACGAATTTCAGAGTTAACATTTTATTGCACGGAGATTTGAATAAACATTTTATCGTCGGGGGGCGTCATTAAAGTTTCTGCCTTTTTTAAGTAATATTTATAATATTATTAATTTAATGTTTTCACGTGTTTTATAAATATTACTATATAAATTTTCCTTTATTGTCTTATTGTCTAAATTTATTTAATAAAATTATAGTTTCTGAAGAGGACAGCTTTGCTGTTGAAAACGTTAAAGGAATTGTTTTATGACACATAGGAATTGTTTTAATTTTTCCATTGGTTTGACTCGAAGTGATCGTTGACTTCAATACTTAATTAATTTGAAAACCGAGTGATAGAATCATTATTAATATTATTAATTATATTATTTGCCATAGGTAAAAATTAACTATTCATATAATAGCAAACTCATTAAAATTAGCGTTATAAAGTATTCATGTTTGTTCTCATTAAAACTAGCAGAATTCAAAAAGGTATATGTTTAGTAAAATGTAATAAAAACCCAGTATAAATATATATCTCTGATACATCAAAAATAATAAAAATTTAATAAGTGGAAAAAAATTAAAAACAATTATTATCCAGTCATTATTCGGTGGATTTGACATCTTCCAAAGATATAGTAACTATAATAATCTGTGGTTACCATCAGTGTGTTTTCTTCGCAGGTCTTACCTCATACAACTCAAGATGATTTGCCAAAGATATACCGAAAATGCCATAAAGTTCTTCTTTAACTGGTCTAAAGGTATTGAAGGCGTTGCTTTAGTGAAACCCGAAGTATAATTCATAAACTAACTTAAGGATCATTATATTTAAGGAACACTAAAAACGTGTAACTGTAACACTCTGCGTGTCATTATGTGGTTCTTCCACGAAATTATGTCCGGCACTTGAAGGCCACGATTGTAAATTGAAGTCTCGAGATATGCCAGAGTTTACAGCTAACTTAATCAATCGCAGCTTATTTTAAAAAGAGGCCTGAAAATCCGATGCGACAGTCTGTCAAATACTAATTTAAAACTTCAAGAACATGTATAATTGAAGGTGAGATGCAATTTCAATTGTATAACCTCTAAAAGTTTCTCTAAATATTTTTATCACCGAATTAACCTTACCCTCCCCCCCCTCTTAAAAGACAGCTTTTAAATAACCTTTGTTAATTTCACATTTAATTATATATTTCTCATTAATTCAAATTAAAATATTTTATGGCTGATAAAAAATCCATATTACAATCTAAGCTATATACCAATCAAAAAATGTTTCCCTTAGATAAAAGTTTCATTTGTCCCTGTTTTTCTCTCTTTTATCAAAGAAACCAGTGAAAAAATCAGATGAACACGAGAAAGGACGATGACCAAGCGATGTGCACGGTTCATCAGGTGATTCGTGAGCGGCATAACAACGTGATTCCTCATCCTGACAGTAAAGCAGATCGCTGTGCGGCGCCGAGACTGAGAAAAAAGCATTACACCTCAGCAACAAGGATTGGTATCGAATAAATAAAAATAGTTGTGTTTACAACCTTAGGCGAAGCAACAAAAAGGTGTTGATTTCAAGTACCTTCGCTTTTCAAAGAGGAAGAAAAAAGCTAAGAAAAAAAAATGTTATTATTACTCTTGCTCACGAACATTTTATACGTGTCTTAAATTACTCTCTCTACTAATGATAAAGTTACATTATTGCAGTTGGCTATATATATATATATATATATATATATATATAAGGAAGAAAGAGAGAGAGAGAATACTAGAAAGCATTGCAGACATTCTCGCTTAATTATAAAATGATTTGAACCCAATTCGTCCTAATTAATTGAGACTTTCATAATGTCACCACATAAAAATGTCTACACCGGTTACTTTCATATACAGTAAGCTTTAAAAATAATTTTACGACATTATTAAACTAAACATAAAATAAGAAGTTGAAGTCAGTCAGATCAGGAGACTCGTTCTCTTGTACTTAAATTTACGAGTCTTTGATCGTCTGATGAAAAATGTATTTAAGAATCAAAAGTTGAATCTACTTTTTGAATTCAATCCAAAATTTACATTGGCATTTAATTTACAAATGCAGTCTTGATAAATAATTGTTAAATTTATTATTATATTGTTTGATTTAATTTATTCTTACTGTTAATTTATAGTTAGAGAGATTTTAGAGCTAATTCACAAAAGAAGAAGAGCATCGGTGTACCTTGGAATATAATCTGAGAAATGGTTTTTTTCTAACTAGGCATAATAGATCTGGTTCATGATTTCTATTAATCGGCGTTAAAATGCTTCGCTATACATATATCGGACAACCGGTACTATCTCGCTCAAGAGTCACCGAAGCGACAATTCTCATTCCTTGCCTAAGCCGCAGGATGTCCTCAATTCTTAAAGTCCAGTAGAACAGCAATTTAATGCGGTTGCAAAGTGTCTCTTGAGAGTCGTTCATATGTGCATTTTAAATGACCATCAAAAGATGATTCCCAATTGAACTCTAATATGCGTATGCGTAGAAAGATTCTTTACGGAAATTACAAAAATCCTGGAGAAATTCCCTTCGACTGACCACACTAAGAAGATGTAGCAAAAGCAAAAGTGTTCAACCTCCTGACATCAATTTGCTTTGGCATAATTTAGTAATAATACGAGCCTATCAAATGTAACATTTCAATTTTTATTACCTCTAATTTTATAAGAAAGCTTTTTTAATTTCCTTACATATATATTATTTATGTTTTTAATTTTTAATACAAGACTTCTTTTCGAAAAAGTTAATCTTTTGGATGACCATGTCTTTCAGAAGTTAATGCAAACATTTTTTTACAAGTTTGCAATTTCTTTTCTTTGCGAGTAAAAATAAAATAGGGGATAAAATTTTATTTACGTAGGTTGAAGTTATATTTTTTAAGAAGTGTATATCTCGAAAATGGGATCATATACTAAGTAGTTCATGAAGATACGGCGACAGAGTTTGCCAGAAAGATGGAGCATATATGAGGTTCTCGTCCTTGTCTCTGCCAAGCCATCAGACATATTTTTCAGGTGCTGGTTCTCCAGACTGCAGACAGAATGGCGAAGGAGTCAAAGTAAGTATGTAACTTGGACGCATTGTGACTGGCTAACGAGAATTGCAGACAAGGAATAACCGCAACCGTTTGCAAGCGCATTATTCCAGACTTACATACATATAACCGGCATATGACAGACGTGGCCCTTGGGTCCCTTCAAACGAGATTTATATTTAGAAACAGACAGACTTGTACAACTTTTAGCAAGAAAAATCTTATTTAACTTTAAACAACATTATATATAAATAAAAGAAGTATACTTTTAAAATCAGCCTTTTTAAATTTAGTATGTGACATTTTGACATGACTTCAAGAATCTAAATTTCACATTCCAGCAGTTTGCTGTTTATCTATAAAGCCAATTAATCAAAAATGCAGAAAATACATTAAATTTTTTAAATAAGTTATTCACATAAACAAGACTTTCAGTAAAGATTTATGAAAAACTGAAGTAGCAAAAACATCGTAAAGTGAACGAATGCTTCCGAAATAAAAGAAACTGTAAAACAGTAACTGCTTTCACACGATAATAATAATTTTTTATGAACATGTTATGTTTCATCGTTAATTAAGAAAAAAAATATTTCGCGAATGAAAATCACTTCCTGCTTTTCTGACAATGTTTGATAAATATCTATCTCATATTGTAAGTTAGAATATATGTGCAGTCTAATTGTGTGTTGATTTAACCTTTTGACTGCACCCATGATTTTCATGATATGGATGTATGGAAATTTTTATTCCCGTTTCATTGTAACACATCATTATTAAAGTGGTAAAGGAAACTCACCTCGCACCTGGAAGTGTCCAGTATCTCGACCTCGGTAGTAACATTATCGATAGGAACACTATGACGGTAGAGGAAATCTGCAACAGAGGAGAACGAGATTAAACTGACACCTTGATATATGATAGACCTATTCTGGATCACTATCTGAGAGATACCAGAGAGTGATCTAGAGGGCAGTCATCGTCTTCGTCCCGTGAGGAGAAGAAGTCTTTCCCCACCATACGCCGGGGGCTTAGATCTCTAAGCTCTGGAGCAAATTCTATTCAAACGTAGAATATTTGTATTCTTTGCTGGCTAATAATAAAACAAAACCATTTTTTTGACGTTCTACTTAAGGTTAGGTTCCTCCAAACAATTTTCAAAAAGTCGAATTTTTTCCCCCGTAAATTTCTAGAAAATACTCGTAGAAATAATATAGAATTAAGTAGTCCCGAAGGTCCGCACGACCGAAAAGTAGGTATACAAGAGGGAAGAGCGCCAAGCGGTAAATCCGGCCGCTAGAGCACCCCGGGTGCTTGTTTACTTATTTATTTTTAAAAAATATTTCCTTCTCTGGCAGGACGCCTATGAAAACCAGGAAGGAGTTGTGTACGCAGCCGGATTGGATATGTAAGTAAAATTCATTTTTCACGAACAAAAACTTTAATCGCCTTTTTCTCGATACCACGTTTTTTCAACTGGGTGACATTCTCATTTAGAAACTATTGCATTTATTAACAAAAACCAAACGGCATTTTACTCTTAAAATGTCTCTCTATGGTGTGAACTACAACCAAAAAAATTCATTGTTATTTAAAAAAGTTATAAACAATTAAAAGTGAAAAAAATGTGAAAAAATTAAAAAGTCCGCCATTTTGTTTTCTTTTGGTGAAAATGTTTTATTTTAGTTAATAACAAAAATTATTTTATTTCCAGAATAATATTATAAGATTATAATTTTCATAAATTAATATTTAATAAATTATTAAATTTAATCACAATTCGTGTTATATTATTGTCGTGAGACACGTCTTTAATACACATACACACACATACAAATATAAATACTAAAACTTAAAAGTCGTTAGAAATTTAAGATAAAATTAGAGAAAAACAATCATTTAAAGGATCGAGTATAAGAAAATAAAACATGAAGAAGACAAAGCAGACACAATAAATAAAATAAAACTTATCGCTTAGAGGTGAAGAAGACGATGACGTTGGTCGGAGAACAGTCAGCCAAGATTATTTTCCCTCAATGTTCTTAAGGATGATTGTCAATTAGACCCAATGGATTAATTTTCTCTATCGATTGAATCCGTCATAAAATTCATTCACCAATTTGAATGAATTTGTCGGCGTTATCTCGTGAGCTTTCAAACTGTCAACGCGTCTCTCGCATCCAAAATACACCCACCAATTATTAAATTATAATCGCCACACCTTTATTATATAGAAATACAAAATTTAATTATAAAAATTGCAATTCTAGCATAATTTTACTTTAAAGTTAATACTATTATTTTTTTATTTACAAGAGTGACGTTGCTATAGAGATATACTGTGTTTTGTTAAACATTTAAAAAACAGTTTAAAAAAACACGAAATAACAGCAAATAATAAATAATATTTTTGTTCACTCCAATCCTGATGTGGTTTTCGATTCATTAACGAACCTCTCAATAGTTATCAATTGTTACTATTCACTTAATTACTCAGACTGACAAGATTTACTTTCCAAGAATCAGATATTACTTTTTCAAAAGTTTTTGACGTGCTGAATCTGAATCCGGCCTCAGAATAAACCCTGCACGTCAGGTTTTCGAGATATTTTAACCTAAAGGTGCAAAAAACCCGTTTTTTAGCTATATTTCACGTCATGTAACATCACAAGATAATTTTTTCTCGAAAAGATAAATATTGCATCTAAAAGCGTTTCACTCCCCCTTTCAAATCCATTTTGAAAATTTTAAAAATCTTTATTTGTCTCTGAGTAATCGTTCATTTTAATGTTCTGAGTTTTGCGAATTCTTCAAAAACTTAGTAGAAGCATACAAAACTTCGATAAAGTACAAACATATAAATTTCGAATATGTTTGCGGATTTTCGGTTTAACTGAATACGAATACAATGTCAGATTTTCAAAATTCAAAATGGCGGACCCAATATGGCGGACTATTTTAAAAAAATGATTTTATTTGCTTAAAATTTGTTACTCGGGGGTTTTCGGGATCGCTGACCACAAATTCGATGTCAGATTTTCAAAATTCAAAATGGCGGATCCAATATGGCAGACGATTTAAAAAAAAAATTATTTTATTTACTTAAAATTTGATACTCGAGGGATTTTCAGGTGGCTGAACATGAATTTGATGTCACATTTTCAGAATTTAAAATGTCGGATGAAATAAAACAGCCATGATATTTTTAAATTAACCAGAATCGGTTGAAATTTGTAAATAGGACTTTTTTGGGTTTTTGAATCTGGATTCCACTATTTGCCGAACCCGGAGTCATGAACGAGGACGTGGAGGTAATTGACTCCATTTTTTTATTTTTTTAATGTATATTTTTTGTTTTTATATTTTTTTGTGATTTAGTAGTTTTTATATATATTTTTTAATTTTTTTGTCGTAAAAATCGGTATTAATATTTAATATTTATAGAACAAATCAAATTCAGAGAACCTTATAACGTGTAACTGAGACATAATTTCTTGGAACTTCTTTTTACCTATATTAAATGTCGTTTTTTTATTTTATTTTTTTGTGAAAACGTTGCCTTTTTTCATCAACAGATCTTTTTAATGGTTTTCGGTTACTTTTGTTAGGGAAATCGTGTCTTTTTAAACACTAGCAGTAAAGGCCTAAGCACAATAGGTTCGCGAAAGTCGTTCGCGAACACAAAGCATGAGTTAGAAAAGGACAGAGATATACTTGTGTCCTTGTCTATCTCATGTGTCTCGTTCGCGAACGACTTTCGCGAACCTATTGTGCGTTGGACTTAATCAGCCATCATGTTGATGTCCCACCTGCCCTGGTAGTGTTTTTCTTTTTGTTTTATATCCTGATGAAATAGTTTACCCCATGGACGTAAGAAATATAGGGACATGGCATATAGATGCAGGGGGATTCTTTGCAGTCCGTAAGGGGAGGCGTTGGCGAATTGCTAATTGGTTAAGAAAATGTACGTGTTATATGGCAATTGGCGCCTGCGCATTAAGTCTGCCAATAGGGAATCGACCAACGTAACGTTTTCCTTCCGATCTGCCAACGTACTCCCCTCGCCCATATTTTGACTTTGAGGCCTGTCCCTATATTTCTTATGTCCATGGTTTACCCATTTCTTCACTGAAGGCGACAAGATTTTCTGGAAAATCTTTCAAATGGAAAAACGAAAAGTGAACCTTTAAGCTCATCAGACAACCTAATTTTTTAAAATTATGTAGCATAGTGGAAACTATCTGTTTGTAATTTGGGTCTCGTTCGTTGCCCAAAAACTTTTCAACAACCTGTTTAAAGCTTAACCACGCTTCTTTCTCTATGTTTGTCATCGTATTAATACATTTTTTGTCTTTCATTAAAGCTCTGATATCAGGACCGACAAATACTCCCTCTTTAATTTTAGCTTCAGATAACTTGGGAGATTTTTACAAAAGATACTTAAAACAATATTAAAGTTTATAAAAAATTACTTTATGTTTAAAATTCACTTCACTATTCATATTACTTAAAAACTTAATTAAATTATATAATAATTCGTTTTAATTAAAAATTAATATTAAATAAATTTATATTTAAAAAGAATGTATTATTATTATTATTATTATTATTATTTCTATTACAAGCAACAAAATTAGTGACGGATACTTAAATGAAGATCTTGTATTTCTCGGGGTAATTATGATCAAAATGTCAAACTTCCGGAAGTCGAAAATTGTTCTCAATTATACCCATACTAAACATTCCATGAAAGTTTCGATCACCAAAAATTCGTGGCGTGTGTTTCAACGATGATTTTATATTTCTCGGGGTAATTATGTCCAAGATGGCGGACTTCCGGAAGTCGAAACGTGTTCGTAATTGTTCAGTAACCTGTTACTGGTGCATAATGATTCTATAACGCTTATGTACCAGTAACAGGTTACGCTTATAAGCTGACATTTGCATAAAATTGTTCCATATAATAGTTATGTGTATATTTATTTGTGTTTACTGCGTGGCACAATTTTCAATCATCCTCTATTATATTAAGTTGAAGAACGACCGACCGACCGACCGACCGACCGACCCTAGCCGTATATATATGTATATATCTTTTAAAAACAATATTAACACATGTATACATATTCACAAATCACGTATGCGCAGTAGTGTTCTATCAATGTCAGGCATGCGCAGTAGTGTTGTGTCAATGTTACGCATGCGCAGTAGTGTTCTATTAATGTTACGTATGCGCAGTAGTGTTCTATCAATGTCAGGCATGCGCAGTAGTGTTGTGTCAATGTTACGCATGCGCAATAGTGTTCTGTCAATGTTACGCATGCGCAGTAGTGTTCTGTCAATGTTACGCATGCGCAGTAGTGTTCTGTCAATGTTACGCATGCGCAATAGTGTTCTATCAATGTCAGGCATGCGCAGTAGTGTTCTGTCAATGTTACGCATGTGCAGTAGTGTTCTATCAATATTAGGCATGCGCAGTAGTGTTCTATCAATGTTACGCATGCACAATAGTGTTCTATCAAATCACGCATGCGCAGTAGTGTTCTGTCAGTTTTACGCATGCGCAGTAGTGTTCTATCAATCCATTCTTCCACTCTATGATATTCAGTTGAAGAACGACCGACCGACATTACACAAAGTTATTTATTTTAAGTTCTAGTAAGGATATAAAGTTAGTTAAGATCTTATTTCAAAGCTAATATTTTCTACTTTCATAATATCAAAATAATAAATTTGAAAAAAAACATATTCTTCATTATTGTTTAAATGCAATTACCAATAAACAATTTTTTTAAATGTATGATAATTTAAAAACATATTTTTCTCATGTTTGTACGTCATGTAAATCTCAGGGACCGATTCTAAAACGAAACTAA